ATTGGGCTTATCGGAATCTATGACTTTGTCGGATGGCGTGATTAGGCGTGATCTGGCGTGATTTGGCGTGATTGCCGGACTGAATGCATGCTATTTTTGGCATACATTTGGGCCGAATGTATGCCACATTTGGGATACATTCATGTATTACCGTGATTTGGCGTGATTTGCTGCAGGAGAATTGTCGAACATGATTTGTCGAGCCAACATTTTGGATGTATGCCTCTCAGAGCAACATTGGCCTTATACACCCCAATGTTCCTTCTCAGGCCAACGTTCGCGAATGTCGGCAAATAGCAGCAACATTGGAGTGTCTATACATTATGTTATATATTTATTATATATGCTATATGTATATATATATATATGTTATATATGGTACCCCCCGCCCCACGAACCATGGTTTGGAGCTTGAGCTGCGTTTTGTCCAGTGTTTTGTGCCTGTTTTGCCTCGGTTGATTTTGTGGCAACATGGGGCGGGGGGTGCCATATGTCTATGTACATATATACATACATATATGATGTAGGCAAAGATATCAACATCTGCCATCTAACAGAGTCTGCATCCATCTCAGAGTGTTGGGACAACGCTGGAATTTGTCAAAAAACGTCTGGGATTCAAGATTCAAGATTCACGAATCTGAGAAAATTATTTTTGGGAACCTTGAATCTTGAATCCCATCATATCCCATCATTTTGTAAGAAAACTAAGAACTCCAGTGTTGTCCCAATACTCCAGGTGTGCAATACAGATTTCTGCAACCAAGTATGCGAACCCATTTGCAGTGATATGGATTTAATCTGCAACCCCCAAGTTCCCGCAATATTTGGATTCAAAGTGAGAGGACCAGATTCTCGGAAAAGCTTTCTGTGAAAGAGTTCAATCTCGAATCTGCAATCCAGTGGTAAAATACGTTCGAGGTTTTAAGAACAACTTGAACGTTTTTTTTGGGGGGTTGGCCAGGATGGATGATTCTCAGAAAAGTTGCTGTCTGTGCAATCATCGATGTTGAATTCTCAATCCAGCGGTAAAGCACTGTCAAGAAGAACTTTAATGTTGTTTGGGTTTGGCCAGGAATGACGATTCTCAGGAAAGTTGTTTGTGTAATCTTCAATATTGAATCGTCCCTCCAGTGGTGAAATACTCTCAAGTGCTTGGCGATCCAGTGGAAAACACTTTCAAGTATTTAGTTAGTGAATCTTTCAAGTGCTTTTGGTGAGCGGTTTGCTTCATGTAAGCTATGCTCATGTTGTCCCTTTTCCAGGAGGTAAAGGTAGGTGTATCCAGCTGAAGTAACACCCTTTTTGGACATTTTCGAGGACTCCGGGCTTCAAATTAGGCGGCTTTGAAAAACCGACATTTGTCAACTTCGAGAATTTAAATCTCTAGGTTCTAGGTTTATCATCAAAAGCCACTAAAACCAGGGTCCATGGCGGGGGCGGGGGGGGCGGGGGTAGCATATATATATATATACACATATGTATATACATAGGTATATATATATATACACATACGTATGGGGCTCATTACGACAGGTTCCAGGATCATCAGGTGATTTGGTTCAATAGGAACCGGCCCCATTCGGGAAACACGGCTCTCATAGGTTTTTTGGGTGGACTTTGTCTGAAATCCCTGAAACTGGAGTGGTTTCCCTTTAACCTGCCAAGTGGTCGAAGATCTGACGTTACAATCATGGCAGGATTCGAGAGCACCAACCATCGGCTTTTGCCTCATATGTTCAAGAGCTCAAGAGCCAACCGATCCGGAGGTAAAACAATCGGTTTCAGACTCAGAGATCTCGAAGACGCAGGAACACCAAGAAGTGGAGTTTCTTGCGCCCAAGAAAGGTTGGTCCTTGAGGTGATTTCGGGACACCGGTCGAAAACGTCAGAACTCATGGCAGTTGCAATTCCTGCCATGAGTGTTTGTTTCTGATTTGCCTTCCAAAGTGGCAGGACAAAAACTCCACTGGAACAAAATGCCCAAAGGGTCAATCAGACATCAGCTCCTACCCCAAGCTATTTTCAATCTGCTTAGCGGTGGTTGTGATGATTCCAGTTGTTGTACATGTCCAGTAGTGCAAGTGACCTAAGGCACTCCGGACTCCGCAGAAGAGTCCAAGGTACTCTTCCAGGGCAAGTGGCAGCCCGGCAGATTGCATTGCTGCTGAACAACACACATCTCTGGGATGTCATGGATGTAGACACATGCATCCTCGGATTTCCCTCACCTTATGCCAAAAAAAACCACCACAACTGGACATCCCGACGGTCCTGCAATCCATGCAGGCATCCAGTGCCATTGGCGCTGAATGGATCCTGTAACTCAAGTTGTCGTTTTTTATGATAGGAAACTGACAGGTGTTGGCAATTTGGTGGTTTTTCTCCGACCCTATTTGGCACCCAGGGGTGGTTCTTCCATGTTTGGGATTTAATGGGTTCTCGATTTCCACCCCCCCCCCCCCCCGGTTGTACCCAGGAAAGACTTGCTTGAGCAGAAGCCTTTGCTGGAGCTGATCGGACAGGACGCCCAGGGCTGGAGTTGCTGGGTGAGATGACACCAGTTCACTGGTTTGCTTCCGTTTTTGCGGGGTAAAGTCAGGAACTGGTTGGTAATGTTCCTTTAACTTGCCACTTGGGTGACTTTCGTGGCAAGCTGATGTGGCCATTTTTCATGCAAGCCAACCAAAAGTCTAGGAGTTGATTCCCCATTCTTTTCAACCATCGTTCATTTCAACCACCGATCGCTGTTTAGCAGGATTTTTGGAGCTGGACAGATTCGGATCCCTGGGTTCAGAATGGGCAAGCTACTCCCTGAGTTTCCTGGGCCTTTGCTGGGTGTGGACCGTGGCGAGCAAACAGTTCGCTTACCCTCCACACCATGGAAAGCACTCAGAAATGGTTCAAGGAAAGCGTTCCACGCCACCCCGAAACATCGGGCAACCGCATGGCAATGTGGAAAGGGCGCCCAGAAAACGGGTGGTTTCCCTTTGGTTTCGCTTCAAACAAAACCGCAAAGGGACATTTCCCTGACACACGTGAAGCAGGCCTTGGGGTCGCATGGTTTTTGCAGGCTGATGTGGAGGTCTCCGATACCCCAGACGTCGAGGAACGCGAGAAGATCTCGCCGCACGGTTGGGTTTGTTTGCCTGGCTTTCGTCGGCGCATGGGACTCTTTGGGTTCCATTGGCTGAACTTGGCGGTTCCAAGCCGTCCGGTTCATTGTTTTGTTTTTTGTGTTTTTTGTGTTTTTTTTTTTTTTGGGGGGGGGTAGGGGGTTTTCGATTTAATGATCCGATGACAGCCAGTGAAGAATATTTGTCTAAGTTTCCCCTGTTGGTTTCAATTCCAAAGGGAGTCTATCACTGAACATATATTTACTCTTCCAGGGCCGGGTGGAAGAAGCAAATAGAGGTTTAGGTTCCCTTGAAAGCAACCTCAAAGAGGGGCCCGTGATGATTGCCCACAGAGTGTCAACCTCTTTGCAGTTACTCCTGTTAGGCTTCCCTTTGGGTGATTTGAAGCCCTGATTCTCGTAAAGGCCGGATATGAAACCACTCCAAACCACCCAACCCGAACCACCAAATACGGGGGAGTCTGACCTATGGGGCCCGCAGTTGAAAGCGCGCGGTTGGGACAATCTCAAGGTGTACGGCGCTTGCGTGATGGCAAAACTGGTAGTGTCCCCCCCCCCCACTTTAGTGCGAGTGTCTCTGAGATACCATATTTAAATGGCAGCCAGGATTCTATATCGCTGGGCATTGCGATGTTTGTTATTCCGGGCTCCTGGATGGTGCATGCGTTTTGCTTAAGACATCACAAAGGCCGGAGATCATGCAGTTCCCGTGGCTTTGCGCCACGGGCGGTCATAGAATTTGGGGTCTTTGTTTAAGGCACCCCCCCCACAAAAAAAAAAAAAAAAACAGAAAGGGAGAAAAGACAACGGCACAGTTTGGCTTTCCTTTTGTTTTCCCCTTAAAACCACCCAGAAAGGGGGGTTCCCTAAAACAAACGAGGCACCTATATTTCGTTCCGGCTGTGTTCATCAGGTTCGGCACTGCCAATCCTGTGCCTGGCTCCAACGACTTTCAGTCGGTCTCCTTTCTAGAGGAACCCGTATCTCACTTCCTCGATGTCAAGTCGATCAGGGCGTCTGGTTTGCGCGCGCCCGTGTTTTTTTTGTTGGAAGGTTTGCGGGCACCGGTTTCTTTTCTGAAGGTTTGCGGGCACCCGTTTTCTTTTTTTAAGGTTCGCGGGCGCCGGTTTGCGGGCGCCTTATTTTTTGAAGCTTTGCGGGCGCCTTAAAAAAAATAATGAAGGGAGACCAAAAAGGGAAGCCACCCGTTTGGAGGCGTCCAACTCCGTTTTTTTTCGCGGACAAACGCCCGGAATCTTCCTCAAAGAGCCCAGGAAGGCCATGGAGCTGTCGCTGGGGTCCGTCCAACCCAGCGCCACGGCCGGAAGCCGAATCCGCCGTTGGTCCCGGAAGGGGGGGGGGGAGGGGAGGGGGGGGCTTGGCACATGAGGGATGCTTTTGGAACGGTCTGTTTTTTTTTTTTTTTCCCAGGCGAGTCTTGGCACAAGGTTCTCTCTGCGGCATCTCTCTGCGGTTTGTAGATGCATAGGTCCCAGCTCAGAAGCGTTGAACGCACTGCCTCAGGACAGGTGCTTCATAGCTTGTAATATCGGGGCCACATGTTTTTTTCCAAATGACAGCTGGGACGGCTGGCGACTTGGCGTAGTCTGTTAAATTTGTGTTGTGTTGTGTGTTTAATGTTTTCTGTTCTGGTGGCATCCATCAACATGTGGCGCTTGTTTGTGGTCCGGCATCCAATGAAATCAAGTTGCAGCGGCAATCGTATTGGAAGGGGCTGTATGATCGAAAACCAACAACATCTAGCAACAGATTGAAAGAGTTGCATTTGTTCTAGACAGACCCCCAGTAGTGCCCTTTTGCCCCTTTTTTGGGGGAAGGTTCCCCTACTGAAATCAACTACATAAAACAAAAACGTTGGCACTCTTATGTTAACCTCTCTACTGGAGGACCTAGTAGAGATCTGTTCTCGTGAGAACACCTGCAATTGGTGACTGCTCAAGCGTGCGGGCTAAGTCCTCCAGCCACCCCGGCAATATTGCATTTCCTCTTGAAGCAGCGAGGAGTGGAACACGTTTTTCCACCAGGTCCAGGGCATAATCCAAGCCAGATCGAGCACAAACCTGGGGTCTCCTCCAAAACTATATCATATTGTGCAGACTAACTGGGTCTGTTCTTTTCTACTGAACCTCTTTTTGGGGTTGCTTTTTCTAGGGACACCCGAAGGGACACCACATTTGTTGGGGGTCCCCTGTTCTACACCCAAATATTGAGCAGAGTCTGAGCGTATGATTTTCTGTGTGCTCAGACGTGGGCCAAAAAGGAGCAGCAAGTCTTTGCTGAACGTAATCGACGCTTGGGATCCTGTTGAAAGGTCTCCGAAAAAGTAGAAGGCAGCCGAAAAATGACGACTTAAAGCCTAACTGAGCACTTTGAACACCCCCGATAGGTAAGAGCGTGTATGTGAGTATGAGATGCGCACCACATAGTATCCTGTAGCGTGTGTGCGTATGTTGTACGTTTCAATGCGCTCTTCTCGGGCACCTTTCCCCGCTTGTTGGCAGGGGTAGCTGCGTTGCGAGGTCAACCAGCATGACGTCGGCCCCTCTTTTCGCTGCAGCGAGTTGGAAGGCCCGTTGGTTGTTGCCTGGGGGTTTTTGGGCCTTCTTTTTGGGCAAAGATGGCGCCGGCTCCAGCTCAATCACCACGAGTTCCGCAAACTGAAGGATGTTGCTGTCTTAGCCCCTGGCACCCCCTTACTTTCCGAAACTTCCGAGGCATGATGAAGGAGGAAGACCACAGCGCTAGCATCACCTGGCGCTGCGTAAAGATGTACCTGCAGTCCTCCGGAGGCGCATAGTTTCAGCCTTCAGCTCAGCAAACTCCTTGCCCGTGGCGGCACTGGTTTTCTCTCCGTGTTGACGTGCGAAGCCCTGATCCGTAGCAGTGTCCGTCACATGCCTTTGTCAAAAAAACAAACAGGGTCTCGGAGTCCACCTGAATCATCATGACATGGATATAACTTGATTAGGTTGACACCAAATATTTCTTGCATGGCAGTGTCAAGGCTGCCTAACTTCTCTCAGGCGCAACTAGCTTCGCCAGGCGGTATTACTTATGCGTTGACCTGGGAGATGCTGATGCGAGTATTGCCTTCAACTGGCAGCCTCTTTTGGACGTTTCCTTGCATTGCACTGGCATCCGGCACGGCCAATTTCGTATCCTTACAAATGGCGGGTTAAGTTGGCTCTTGCAAACGCTGGAGGAGCTCACACGGGAAAAGCTGGTTCAACCATGAGGAAGGTCCATTGGCGCCCTGCAAACGTGCACCTTCGCGTGGTTTAGATGGACTAGGTCCCCCAGTAGTGCCCTTCTTTCGCCTTTTTTGGGGGAGGGTTCCCCTACTAAAATAGACCGGACAAAAAATGGCACCCTTATTCTAACTTGTCTACCGGAGAACCTAGTGGAGTACATTCAATTTGAGCTGATGTTTTATGCTTTTTGGTTCAATGGTCGCGACTGCTTTGATCTTGTATTTCAGAAGTCTTGCTGCCGCGGATCGGTGACAAACCCACGGAGTGTTAAGGGATCCGCATCAACATTTGGTGGTGGTCCCGCCGCTGTAAATGGCCATGCTGACATGTTGCGAAGTAATGAACCGAGGGAATCCCCAAAGTCATCCAGTAGTGATGAAGTGATGAAGCAATAACAAAGTAGTCAGAACTTGAGGACGAAAGTCATTGTATGTGTTCTTTGGATATTACTCAAGGGCGAATGCTCCCGAAGGATGGCAGTCTTTGTGCGAGGCTGGACGGTTGTGCTCATCTTCTTCTTGAGCTCGGCTTTGGAGCGCTTGGTGATGGTGGGTTTGGATTGGTGGCTGGCCCGCTGGACAGAAGAGGCAGAAGAGAGACATGGGGGGGCTCTCCAAAGTGGATTCGGTCCCCTGTTGTTCTTTTCTTTTTGGTTTCCCTTTAGCAACTAAAGGGATCCATGAGAAACACGGAAATGACTGCCTCTTTCGACGCAAAGAGGTGCACTGAAGAAAGGCCAAAGCCTGGTTTGTTCAGTGAGTCTATATCCCTAGATCGGTAACCAAGGGCTTAAACCACCCTTTAAATTATCTACCAAGAGGAGCATGCCGAAGGGTTCCCTACTACAGTGGTAACTGGGATCCACTGAATGCGTTTGTTGAACTCAAGAAGCTTACCTGTATACACTATAGTAGGTAGCAAGCAAAAGAACGACAACTGGTTGCCGTGAAGGGCGGGACAGGCTCTGAAAATCGGCCAGATCGAAAGGCTGTTTATCCATCGGATGGTTTGAAAGATGTTGAAACAAGGCAATTCCGGGCGGTTTCTCTAAACAAACTTATCCTTCCGAGTCCTTTTAAAAGAAACATGTTCTTCCCGGACCCCCCCGTCCGGTTCCATGTGAATTGGTGGGAGGGCGGTTAACATGGAACCTGGCAGGGGGTCCCTTTGAAAGGAAAACGATATTGGACCTGTCGGATTCCATGTTAATTGGTGGGAGGGTAGCAAATCAGTTCTGAAAAACCGATTCGGCCGAACGCGAAGTTTCGCTGGATTAAGCCTAGCTCACATCTTTGGAACTGAAACAGAGCGACAACCACTGAGCTGCGAGAGAAAGAGACATATATATATATATATAAGAGTCCATCTATGTTCTTGTTTGTCTATGTAGCTATCTATCTACCCATCTATCCAATCTATTTGTCTCTCTATCTATCCATCCATCCATCTATCTATCTATATATCTATCTATCTATCTATCTGATCTTATCTGATCTTATCTTATCTGATCTTATCTTATCTTATCTTATCTTATCTTATTTTATCTATCTATCTATCTATATATCTATCTATATATCTATCTATCTATCTATCTATCTATCTAATCTAATCTAATCTAATCTAATCTAATCTAATCTAATCTAATCTAATCTAATCTAATCTAATCTATCTATCTATCTATCTATCTATCTATCTATCTATCTATCTATCTATCTATCTATCTATCTATCTATCTATCTATCTATCTATCTATCTATCTATCTATCTATCTATCTATCTATCTATCTATCTATCTATCTATCTATCTATCTATCTATCTATCTATCTATCTATCTATCTATCTATCTATCTATCTATCTATCTATCTATCTATCTATCTATCTATCTATCTATCTATCTATCTATCTATCTATCTATCTATCTATCTATCTATCTATCTATCTATCTATCTATCTATCTATCTATCTATCTATCTATCTATCTATCTATCTAATCTATCTATCTATCTATCTATCTATCTATCTACTGAAACAGAGGCGTCTCCAGATGAACTGGACCTCTACCTGGGCGTGTACTTGGCATTCCTCGGGGCTGTCTCAGTCCTTGCCTGCATCACTCGCCCGGGTCTCGGTTGTTTTTTGCCGCCTGTGAGCGTCGGGGGGAGGGCGCCAGAAGTGCTCCTGTGGGTCCTGACAAGGCTGTGTCAGGGAAACCAACTGGCAGGGATACAGGGGGAACCAGCGATACGGGAGGATTCCCCCATGCACCTTGACTACGTTTATGGGAAATGGCCTCATATCCCCGCTCCCTCCGTGTCCCTGCTGGCTCGATTGTCCAAACCAAAATGGCACCTTGGTAGATGGAAGCAAAGACGAAAAGCGCTGCGGTTTGCCCTAGCTCTCTAAGTTTGAGCCACTCCCAAACCACAATCCAAGGGCATGCAACTTCAAGGTCTGGGTGCTATTTGGAGCCAGACGGCTGGAACCAAATTGGGAATGACTGAAAGGGCCAGGTTGCCCTTGAGTTAAATAGAGCAACCCAACGTACAGTGGGAGATGAACAGAAGAATTGACCACCGGGCCAGAATACGCTGGCTAAAGAAACATGTTGCGAGCGGACATTGTGGCTACCTGCGGCACTCGTTGATGGTTGTTTGCGTAAGTTCAGAGCGCTTTCGTTTTCTGAGGGCTAGATGATTTCCTCGAAACTTTGGTTTGTATGTGATTGTAACATGCATGTTGGGTTGTAAGTTGTGGGATGGCTGCATTGTTTGTAAGCGCGCCTGTAATTATTGCAAATAAAGCGCGGGTTTACCACTTGCACATCCATGAATGCATAGCATACTGCTTGTTTGCTTGTTCCTTTTGCAAGCGAACGGGACAGTCTTGAAACAAAGCAGAATTGCCAGAACAAGCACTTTTGGAACATTCGCAACTGGAGATGCGTCTTGGTGTGGCTCAAGATTAAACAGCTCGGGTTACGCAGGCTTTAGTCTTTCTTTCCATCTACCAGGGGGCCATTTTGGGATTTTTTGTAAAGCCACAGCCATCTGGAAACACGCCGCTTGGAGCGCAGCCCTTCCTCTTGCAGGGTAGCGGAAAGTCAGCCAGAGTGTCACCCACGCCATGCCTGTGATCAGATTTTGGGCGAACACTTTACGCGTGCTGCCAAAGGACCGCGCTGTTTCCCTGACAAATTTCGTACATGGAACACAAAACAGAAGCTGTTTTTCACTCAGATCCTGTGGATGAAATCTGTTGCCCTGCTTGAGTTTGGTCATCATCTTGCGTAAACTTGACCACGCTGTTTGCATGAGTCGGGTTTGTCGTTTTAGGAAACTTCCAGCAGCTAGTCTGACTAGAGGGCTAAATCTCTGAAGGAGCGAACCCAAGCCGAGCTGCTCTTTAATAACTTGAAGCAAAGTATCCCCGGGGATTGATTTTCCTGTATAGTAGGTAACCAAGAGAACCACCCTTTAAGAACCAAAAGGAAGGCAGCTGGTTACCTACTTCCAAAGGCTTCGGGATCCACTGGGTATGATAAGACTGTGTTTGCTTTCCGTAGTCTAAGACGCGTATTGTGAATGGCAGCC